TATAAGATAAAAACTGTAAGCCTAAATAAACCCCTGGCTGAGCAGATGGGGGAGGGAGGGACGGAGCCAGCCAGCCAGCGAGGGGTGCTGGGGAGGGGGGGGGTTGAAGTGATATGTTTGATAGTTTGAGCCGAAGGTCTCTGTGTGTTTATTTAACAGTCCTACTACGCTTCTCCCATTTTAAAATGCCAGTGAAATGACCTGGAAGAATATAATTAACATTGCTGGGATTCTTGTAAGACACTGATTAATTTGAATAGCATCGTGCTCTAATTTGCACTAGACATAACAATTTTAGTACCGTTATGAAATTAGTACATGTACACTCCAGCTTTGCACTAAGGTCATTTATTTCTTTTAGTACGGTGTGTGCATGTAAATGGATGAAAATGAATGAAGAAATTTATGTAAATCTACCCAAAAATACAGTTGAAAACTTTATACTGTATTATAAAATGTACTACACAGTATTGTACACTAATGTACTACATTTTTATATCTTGAGCAAAATATATGACGTTTATATTCAAATTATTGGCGGTCATGCAAGGATTCCAGCAATGCAAATTATAATCTCCTAACTTTAGTCTGAGATATTATATAAAATAAACACCTTAAAGAATAAAGGTATCACCAATCTTTTGTCTGGGAACACAAGGAGGGAGGTAGCCAGAGAGCATGGGGGGGGGGAGGTGAAGTGACAGTGTGGTGTTTGTTTATTTATTTGAGATAAGATGTGACTCTTGGCGCTGAAGGCCTACGTGTTTATTTATCATTACTTAAGAGTGACTAAGCTCTTCTCATAATTTGCCACCCAAACGGCCTGGGTGAATATAACTTACATTGCTGGGATTCTTTTAAGATAGTGATTTATTTGAATACCTGTATAAACAACCTATATTTGCAATAGACATAACGTAATCATTTAGTACATGTACAGTACAGGTTTGTTCCACGGTAAAATCTTTTGAACAACGAAAGAAAGCGAAAGTCATTGTTTTCGTCATGATTTTATCCCACTTTCCACTGTAATATGTACGTCATTTCAGCAAAAATATTACATTTCCATATTCATTCAGTCACAGTTAAGGTAAAATATACTTGTGATGTAATATTTTAATGAAAATACCCGGTATTTAGAAATAAGGTATCGTAGTTTTCTTTTGTTTCATATTTAATTAACAAAGATTAATGTTTCAAATGTAATGAACAAAAATTTAGGGACAGTATCTATAAATTAACTTTAAAAATGAATACTTTATGTTTTACATCGTCCTGTGCTACCATACCATGCATTTGGCTACTTTGGGCTTGCTATGATGATGCAAGAGATCTGCCCTGGCAACAGTACTGACACTCACAGCTGGTGGTGCGTTGGTGCGTCGTTTCCATTGTTTACTGGTAGTTACTAGTAAATATTTTTCAGCCTAACGAAACTATTACCCGTTTAGAGGTTGACCCCCAATTTTTTGCCAAATAATTTGGTCTTAAAAACTCAAACTACACACAGGTATATATGGTAAATAAGGACATGGAGGGCCAGGTTTTTTTTAGGGGGGGGGGGTGTCAGCAGAAGTACATGGATTTTTAACATTCACGAGTATCTCTGTTACCTAACCCCCGCGTATGTTAAGGGCCGACTGTATATTGTTAATACTGTAAACATAATAATGTAAATAATGTATACTACTACTACAGCACTTTATTGTATATACTGTACTGTATTCACCAGCAGATGCTGATGTCTTGAACCTAGAGTAGGCACTAGGCAGACACTTTCCACTCAGCTGAATGTAATATGTAACCACAATCACGTCTTAAAACTTACGATAGAGGTGGGGTGGGGGATTAGTAGGTCATATTACTGACCTGACCTGATGCAATGTCAAGTCACCCAATGTCAGGGTGGGTGAATAGTGGATCTCATGACCTGAAGATTCCTTGAATAAAGAAGAAAGCCAAGATACCCCAGTGTTTTCTACTCACTGAATGTACAGTACAGTATATGTAATTGTGATAACTTTTTACGTTCTTAACAATGCTTTAACAATGTATTCTTGAATGATCTTGTTCTGGTACAGTAATGTACAGTGCTGCACAACACAGATCATGCAGGGAACAACCCACACGCCTGATGCGTGGGGATGCATTGGAGCATTGTGCAATCTCTTGGAACTACCTAAAAATTTATTCCCAGGCCGAGAATGGAGAAATTTGGAGAGATTTTCTCAGAACCTACTCGGAATTCTTTCAGAAAATGCTCCATGATTTTCAACCTTTGAAATTCGTTCAAACCCAAAATTGAAAGAATTTTTCTGGAAAAATTCCAAGCTAATTTCAATTCCAGGTACAGTGAGTTCTGCTATAACGCGTGTTTTGATAACGCAAATTGGCTCTAACGCGATTTATGAATAGAGGAACGATATTTGTATAACGCGAATGCTTGTTTGCTGGAACGCGATTTTTGCTTTCTATTTCTCCAATTTTGTGGTATTAACTGTGAATATTGTAAAGAAGAATTTCTCCAAGAAGCGTTCTGGTGATTGCATTCCCGGTGATGATCGTAAAAGAAAGGCTATAACCCTTGAAGAGAAGCTCGATGTTATCTACCTCAAAATCACCCTTCTCCCCCATCAAGTTATATTCATATTTTTTCAAGGTAAAGTGTTACATTTACTGTATGATTTCATTATTAGATATGAATGTAACATTTAATTAGATTGTGCTATCCTTTGTGTTAGGCTAACTACTAAATTTTTTTCGATTTCGAGTAGTAATCTGCACCCAACCCTATTTTCTCCATAAGCCCTGTTATTTCTATTACGCGAATTTCTATAACACGATGTTTTACAAGAACACAACTACCGCGTTATAGCAGGCCTGACTGTATTGGAAAGCTCCAGCTAACGAAGATATAACTGTACAGCGGTAACGAGCGTATCTCTCACCAATATGTCAAGGGTTCGAACCCGGACACATGTGAGAAGGGCGTTATCCAGTGTGACCCAACTAAACATCATCGGTTTCTCGGCTTCGGGCTTCCTCCTGTACAAACACTGGGCAGATCAACTGCCCGAACATCTAGTATGCCGATAAGTGGTGAGAAATGGAATCACTTTAGGGATGCACTAGAACCATAACATTAAATTCTGGCCGGAAATGGAAATTGCCAGAACTTTTAAAATGTTCAGGTCGGAACTGGAACTTAGGGTGTTATAGCTTTAAAAATTATATTCAAGTTGTTTTAAGTACATGACATTCAGAAATCCTATACCTAGACCCCGACTTACGACGGGGTTAGGGACCCAAATCCAGGTCGTAAGTCCGACATGGTCGTAAGTCCGACATAGATAAAAAAAAAATATATATTTTTTTTTTTAATAAAAAATCTACAATGAAATACAGTACAGTAAAAGTAATGAATAATGATGAATGGATACAGTACAGTGAAAGTAATAAATAATAAGGAATGGATACAGTGTGACTGAGCACTTAACCTTTAATGTAGTCAGCTGAATGCACATGGGGCCCCCATAATTTTCTAATTATACATGGAGACTACATTAACTGGAAACGTTTCGGTATAGAAAATGCGTGTGTCATTTAAATTTTTTTTTTTATCTATATCTGAGGCGATTCGTAAAGTCCCGACGGTCGTAAGATCACGTAATTAAATGAAGTGGGTCTAGGGTGTACTGTATTATATTATTGGACTACTGTACATTAATTTTTAAAGTCATTTGTCAAACAAAAGCTACAAATATGAAGGTTTAGGTAATTTTTTTTTACTTAATGCAGTGGTTACCAAATAGAGGGCTACAATATTCTTCAAAGGTAAATCACACATGCTGCCTACATAACATGCAGCCTTGTGGTATTTCTTCAATTATATTAAGTTTGAAATTTTAGTTCACATTATTTATAAATACACACAGAACAGACAATTTATAAAGAACCATAAATAACTGCAACTGGTTCTGTGGTGTGCCCTAAGTTCTTGATGTTATTTTGTGTCAGGACAAAAGGGCCATCAGAATGACACACCCAGTACCTGTCCGGTTTAAAGTTCAGTCAGCTCAGCCCAGCCAGCTGTCCCACGCTCAGTGTTTTGTACTATGTATACATGACACGTACAGTACAATAAATATGATATAAAATTTAATAAATTTTTGCTACACATACATCAATATTCACTAACCATTCAATACTTTTTATGTTGCATTACCCATTGGAAATAAGAAGTATTAACAGTGAAAAATATTTTAATGGCTGAAACAATAACCAGTACCACTAAAAAATTCTGGTTCCAGGCGGTTATTTTCCCGAAGTTCTGGTTGGAACTGGAACTTCATAAAAATCGAGGTTCCAGCCGTAACAAGTTCCAGTGCATCCCTGGTTCACTTACTGTATGACCTCAGTAATCAGCACCAGCACCTCTAAATAGTCATCAAAGGTTATTTTGTCAGGAATACCGGTTGTCAAATTTTAAAATTAAAATTCCTCTTACAAAGTATGGTTTGCCAGCCCGTTGCCAAATATGAATTATTGATTTTTCTTATATTCTGAATTTATTTTATTCTTATGTATGCAAAAGAAGTTTGCTTTGATTACATCAGTAAGCCGATAATCATATCACATACAATGTCTGCAGACACATGTCTCAAATAACAGTGTTAAATGTACAGTACAGTAATTAAATAAAATCTGATATGAATTCCACACTTTTGTTGCCATGTTTAATAAATAGTGCTATTTTTTTAACTAATATTTCTGCTATGAAAAGGAAGCTGGTGTTAAAAGAAAATTGTATTTTGAGTGCTGAAATGTTGATTACTTGTTATTATCCATATGGAGATAACTAAAGACTACTATATAATGTAGTAGGACAGAGTACATCTGGATTCTTTGGTTGAGAGAAGGATATAGTCAGTTAAAGACTGCCTATATAAAAGATAACTTTCAAGCCAATAACTAGAATGGAATAAATAGTGATAACTTACCCATAAAACCAATGAAATAAGATGCATGGTTAGGCTTCCCACCTATGAGTCCCAGAGACTGTGGCATCTTGAAACATTTCTGTTAAAAATTGCATCATATGAGAAAACAATTAAGGAAGATCACTTTTGTTAACCTTAAACTACAGTGGTAGCATCTTCATGCCTTTCAACACTGTGATCCTGATTTCATTCCCATTTGCGTTGGTTGTAAGAAGGGAGTTGTCCAATGTGACCTTACAGAACAATACAGACCTTTTCCATGTACAGTATTTCAGTTTCTTCTTATACTAACACTGGACTCATAGGGGATGGCCTCGTCAGAAAAACTATGAAGCATATGGATAGACAGGCATAGAACAGTTTGTCCAGAATGTACCTAATTAACCCAATTAATTTCATATAAAAACAAGAAGCAATTATATATACAGTATTACCCCGCTTAACGCGGTTTCGCTTAGCGCGTTTTACAATACGCGCTGCCTCGCCAGAGCCGAACTTTCACTTAACGCGGGTTTTTTCCACATATACGCGGTGAGTGTCCGGCTCGAGAGCTATTTTTAGATTCGCCCCACCCACCACCCTGCCTGACTGCCTGTTTTAGCTCATAAAATTCATACAAATTACCCGGCCAGAATATAATTTACATTGCAGGAATTCTTACAATATGATGATCATTTTGAATATAAACATCATAGATTTTGCATTAGACATACAAATTTTAGATATAATGTTTACTTTGAGTAAATATGTTATTTTTTGTGCCAAATATATGACATTTGTATTCAAAATATTCCTGGGCTTACAAGGAATCCAGCAATGTCAATTATATTATCCTAACTTTGGTTTGAGGTATTATTTATTACTAAAAAGTTAAATATTCTGGTTTTCCCACACATCTGGTACGGACGGATGGTGGGGGGTGGGGGGGAGGGAGGGACAGACCGACCATCTGTTACCGTGTGAAGAATATATTTTTTTTTTATTAACTTAAGATATTTGTTTTAGCTCATAAAATTCATACAAATTACCCGGTCAGAATATAATTTACATTGCTGGAATTCTTATAATTTGATGATCATTTTGAATATAAACATCATAGATTTTGCATTAGACATACAAATTTTAGATGTAATGTTTACTCTGAGTAAATATGTTATCTTTTGTGCAAAATATATGACATTTATATTCAAAATATTCCTGGTCTTACAAGGAATCCAGCAATGTCAATTATATTATCCTAACTTTAATCTGAGGTATTATTTAATACTAAATGTTAAAATTTAGTTTTTTCACCCAACATCTCTTGAAGGGAGGATTGGTAGGGGGTGGGGGGGAGGGTAGGGACTGACCACATGGTTGGAAGAGGGGGGAGGCAAGGTGGGGTACTTTGATTGACAGATAGTGTCGTGAAGAATATTTTTTTTTTTATTAACTGAAGATATTTGTTTTAGCTCATAAAATTCATACAAATTACCGGCCAGAATATAATTTACATTGCTGGAATTCTTACAATTTGGTGATCATTTTGAATATAAACATCATAGATTTTGCATTAGACATACAAATTTTAGATATAATGTTTACTCTGAGTAAATATGTTATCTTTTGTGCAAAATATATGACATTTATATTCAAAATATTCCTGGTCTTACAAGGAATCCAGCAATGTCAATTATATTATCCTAACTTTAATCTGAGGTATTATTTAATACTAAATGTTAAAATTTAGTTTTTTCACCCAACATCTCTTGAAGGGAGGATTGGTGGGGGGGGGGGGGAGGGTTGGGACTGACCGACCACCTGGCGCGGTTGGAAGAGGGGGGAGGCAAGGTGGGGTACTTTGATTGACAGATAGTGTCGTGAAGAATATTTTTTTTTTTTATTAACTGAAGATATTTGTTTTAGCTCATAAAATTCATACAAATTACCCGGCCAGAATATAATTTACATTGCTGGAATTCTTATAATTTGATGATCATTTTGAATATAAACATCATATATTTTGCATTAGACATAAAATTTTTAGATAAAATGTTTAATCTGAGTAAGTATGTTATCTTTTGTGAAAAATATATGACATTTATATTCAAAATATTCCTGGTCTTACAAGGAATCCAGCAATGTCAATTATATTATCCTAACTTTAGTTTGAGGTATTATTTATTACTATACCTGGTTTTCCCCCAAAAATTTCTCAGAGGGAAGAGCCAGCAGTGTAGTGTGAGAAGAGGGGGAGGGAGTTGAGTCCATTATTTGAATGGACATTAACTTGGCGACTGTATTTCTCTATTTCTCTTAAGTATTAATTGTGTGCATGTACCATCATAAAATTAAGATGTTATTTTTACTAGAACATAGGTATTGTGTCGGAAAAAGTGGAGTTTGGGGATCGGGCCAGTTTCTATTGGAATTAATCCCATATGTTCTGTTGTTCACTTAGCGCGGTTTTCACTTAACGCGGTACCCTGTGGGTTTTACTGAACGCGTTAAGCGGGGTACTACTGTATATATATATATATATATATATATATATATATATATATATATATATATATATATATATATATATATATATATATATATATATATATATATATATATATATACAATGTTTCCCTCGATTACTTGAACTCAATCCGTTCAGGAGTGGATTAGATTAACGAAACCATTATTTCAATGGGTTTTGGAGTAGTGGTTCCAGCTCACCGAAAATTTCCTAAATTCAACAAAAATGGTAGAAAAGTTCACTTACTTTGAGGTGTGTATGTAGAAGGCTCCTGGATGATGATGATGATGATGATGGGATTTAGAATTGGGGTGGAGGAGAAGGAAGAAAAGAAGGCATTGGGGTGGAAGAGAAGTCACCCCCATGGCGCCATTTCACCCATAAAATTTTAGCTCTCTGGTGTAATTCAAGATTATTTTCTTTAAATCAACACTGCACTGCATTATATATTGTCAATATGTAAAATATATTTCAAAATGACCAATAATTTGCTTGGAAACACAGAAAAAAAGCGTTTAGTTGAAGAGAGTCTCAAGCAAGATGTTACCTCCAGTGAAAACAGAGAGAGGCTAACTCCTGTTTGCTGTGTTAGGAGGCTGGATGCCACTCATTAAACTAGTCACTTTACCTTCAATTATGTTCAATAATTGTGAAAATGACTAAAAAATTGAATATTAAACTTTTAAAATTATTGAATATTATAAACTTCTTGATATTTACTAAAGTAGTAAGGAATTTAAGCCCTAGAACCGATTAATGTATTGGCGGACTGATACTAAAGCTGGTTGCCCGGCCAGTGCAAGCGAAAACATGTTGAGGTCGGTTCGTAAGAACTTCGTTAACCGAATTTTTTTTCGTTAACCGAATTGAAGATCCTTATGGAAGGCGGTTCGTTAATCGAAATTACGTTAACCGAGGTGTTCGTTAAACGAGGGGTCACTGTATATATATATTTATATATATATATATACAGTCAACCCTCACTTTACGCGGTTAATGTAACCCACAGGGTACCGCGGAAAGTGAGAAACGCGTAAAGTGAATAACATAACATATGGGATTAAATGAAATAGAGACCAGCTGACCCCCAAACTCCACTTTTTCCAACACAATACCTATGTTCTAGTAAAAATAACATCTTAATTTTATGATGGTACATGCACACAATTAATACTTAAGAGAAATAGAGAAATACAGTCGCCAAGTTAATGTCCATTCAAATAATGGACACGACTCCCTCCCCCTCTTCTCGCACTACACTGCTGGCTCTTCCCTCTGATAAATTTTTGGGGGAAAACCACTAAATTTTAATAAATAATACCTCAAACTAAAGTTAGGATAGTACAATTAACATTGCTGGATTCCTTGTAAGACCAGGAATATTTTGAATATAAATGTCATATATTTTGCACAAAAGATAACATATTTACTCAGGGAAAACATTTTATCTAAAATTTGTATGTCTATGCAAAATATATGATGTTTATATTCAAAATGATCACAAAATTATAAGAATTCCAGCAATGTAAATTATATTCTGGCCGGGTAATTTGTATGAATTTTATGAGCTAAAACAAATATCTTCAGTTAATAAAAAAAACAATATTCTTCACGACACTATCTGTCAATCAAAGTACCCCACCTTGCCTCCCCCCCTCTTCCAACTGCACGGTCAGTCCCAACCCTCCCCCCCACCCCCACCAATCCTCCCTTCAAGAGAAAGAGTGGGTGAAAAAAATATATTTTAACATTTTGTATTAAATAATACCTCAGATTAAAGTTAGGATAATATAATTGACATTGCTGGATTCCTTGTAAGACCAGGAATATTTTGAATACAAATGTCATATATTTTGCACAAAAAATAACATATTTACTCAGAGTAAACATTATATCTAAAATTTGTATGTCTAATGCAAAATCTATGATGTTTATATGCAAAATGATCATCATATTGTAAGAATTCCAGCAATGTAAATTATATTCTGGCCGGGTAATTTGTATGAATTTTATGAGCTAAAACAGGCAGTCAGGCAGGGTGGCGGTTGGGTGGGTGGGGCGAATCTAAAAATAGCTCTCGAGCCGGACACTCACCGCTTATACGTGGAAAAAACCAGCGTTAAGTGAAAGTTCAGCTCTGGCGAGGCACAGCATTATCACGGTAAAGCAGCTAAGTGAAGCAGCGTTAATGAGAATTGTACTGTATATGTATGTATATATATATATATATATATATATATATATATATATATATATATATATATATATATATATATATATATATATATATATATATATATATATATATATATATATATATATATATATATATATATATATATATATATATATATATATATATATATATATATATATATATATATATATATATATATATATATACACATACATACATGCATACAGTGAGTTCTGCTATAACGCGTGTTTTGATAACGCGAATTTGCTCTAACGCGATTTATGAATTCGGAACAATATTTGTATAACGCGATCGCTTGTTTGCTATAACGCGATTTTTGCTTACTATTTCTCCAATTTTGTGGTATTAACTGTGAATATGGTAAAGAAGAATATCTCCAAAAAGCATTCTGATGATAGAATTCCCGGTGATTATCGTAAAAGAAAGGATATAACACTTGAAGAGAAGCTTGATGTTATCAACCTCAAAATCACCCTTCTCCCCATCAAGTTACATTCATATTTTTTCAAGGTAAAGTGTTAAATTTACTATATGATTTCATTATTAGATATGAATGTAACATTTATTTAGACTGAAAAGCATCCTTTGTGTTAGGGCTAACTACTAAATTTCTTCGATTTTAGTAATCTGCACCTAACCCTATTTTCCATAAGCCCTGTTATTTCTATTATTACGATTTATAATACTTATATTTACAAGAAATACAATTATATATAGAACTATATATATATATATATATATATATATATATATATATATATATATATATATATATATATATATATATATATATATATATATATATATATATATATATATATATATATATATATATATATATATATATATATATATATATATATATATATATATATATATATATATATATATATATATATATATATATATATATATATATATATATATATATATATATATATATTGATAAAATCACACGGAAAGGAAACAACGGAGTACCTTAGCTTTCGTCTTTATTCAAGACATCTTCAGAGGCAACTGGATTACATGGACAGAGAGAGGCTTAAATATACAGGGTGACCTTAAAAACATGAGGTCAGGTCATAATGATGTCATCCACTAATTCCCACACCAACACACACGTAGAGGAGCTTAAGATGATTTAAATACTTCTTGTGTCACAGAAAGACTTCTGGTTGAAGCTAGTTTGATTAAGGAATTAAAATCAATAAACCTTAGTGATGGTCAGTTCAAAACTGATAATATGTTACATAAATTTATTTGTCAGTGGCCCAAGGTTAAAAATGCTTTGAAAACCTTTGATCTAGATGTATGATAGTTATTTTGTGGGTCCTTATTTTTGACCTGACCTGACTAGTCACGCCACCCCTTCTCTTAAGCTCCTACGTGTGTGTTGGTGTGGGGATTAGTGGATGTCATCATTAAGACCTGACCTCATGTTTTTAAGGTCACCCTGTATATTTAAGCCCTCTGTCCATGTAATCCAGTTGCCTCAAGATGTCTTGAATAAAGACAAAGCTAAGGTATTCGTTGTTTCCATTTTCCATGTGATTTACCAAGAATTATCTTATCCACGATTTCACTAGGATTCACATGGAAAAAAAAAAAAAAAAAAAAAATATATATATATATATATATATATATATATATATATATATATATATATATATATATATATATATATATATATATATATATATATATATATATATATATATATATATATATATATATATATATATATATATATATATATATATATATATATATGTTGATAACCACACGAGTGTGAAAAACAAGTCTCTGCCTTCAGGGGAATAGACTGCACTATATATATATATATATATATATATATATATATATATATATATATATATATATATATGCAAGTTAATCACTGTAGGTGCGCGTGATCTAGGTATATGCTGATAACCACAAGGAAAGAAGAAAACACGAAGTTCCCAAGCGCTTTCGTGTAATTCACTGGCAAGGAATGTAATATGTTTTACTTAGGCCAGACAGGTAAAGATCTTGTAACTAGACTTAAACAACATAAATATAGTATTAGGACAGGCCAGGAATCCACTGCTCTGTTTGTTCATCTGAGGGATAATAAGCATTGCATTGACTGGGATAACGCCTCCACAATATTATCTTGTAATTCAATTGACAGTAGGAACATTATAGAATCAAGTCTTATTAAACATACCGAAGCAGTCAACATGAATTTGAGTAATGGCATGTACAAACTGGGCAATTTTGTAATTAAGAAGATTTGTAACCAGGTGAGAAGGTTGGGTTACCTTACCCTCTGACCTGACTACCGACCGTTGCGGTGCTTTTTAAAGATTAGTAGGGTCATTACCTAATACCTGACCATTGTGGACATGATCTCACCCTCCTCTGTATATATACACCTTGTTTTGTACTTCTCCTTAGTCTGTACTCACCCCTGAAGTTGTGAATTACACGAAAGCTCTTGGGAACTTCGTGTTTTCTTCTTTCCTTGTGGTTATCAGCATATAACTGGATCACGCGCAACTACAGTGATTTACTTGCATATATATATATATATATATATATATATATATATATATATATATATATATATATATATATATATATATATATATATATATATATATATATATATATATATATATATATATATATATATTATTAATTTGATTATAACTGGGCAGACCAGCTATGCATTACCTTAAGGCCAGAAAAATAGATAGGGTTCATCTCAGAAAGTCCTAGACGTAGAGGAATGAAGAGAAGTAGTGGTCGCCATATTCGTTCTCCTTCAACTTGACAAGTACATCCTGCAAATGAAACACACATGATTGAGGGGCTGTTGAGAAATACCTATCTACAGTGGTCCCTCAGTTAACGAACACAATTTATTCCAGAAGGTCGTTCGTTAACCGATACCATTGTTTCAATGGAATATTGGGTAACTGGTTCCAGCTCACAGAAAAGTATATACTCGTACAAATTAAAGCCAGAATATAATTTGCATTGCTGGAATTCTTATAAGATAGTGATTAATTTGAATACAAACAAGCTAAGATTTGCATTAGACATACAAATTTTAGATCTAATTTAAGAATTTTATTAGGGAGAGCAAATATTTTATCTTTTGTGCAAAATATATGAAGTTTATATTCAAATTTTCCCTGTCTTGCAAGGATTTCAGCAATGGAAATTATATTATCCTACCTTAAGTCTGAGGTATTATTTATTTTTAAACCTGTAAACCTAGTCTTTTTACCCAAACGTTTCTCAGGAAGGTGGGGGTGGGGGGGAAGGAGGAAGGGGTGACAGTGACATGTTTGACAGTTGGCACCTGTGGTGTGAAGTATTTAATTGTTAGTTTATTTTTTTCTTTTAGATTGAGTTTTTGTTTTTTGCTTATAAAATTTAACAGAAATGACTGGGGTGAATTTAATTTGCATTGCTGGAATTCTTATAAGATAGTGATTAGTTTGCATGTAAACATAGAAGAGATCACTGAATTGGCTGAGTACCGCCTCAGCTTATCAGCTGATATTCAAAACAAAATGTGATTTTCATAAGGATTTTGTTAATCGATTTTTTTTTCGTTAACCAAATTGAAGATTCTTATGGAAGGTAATTTGTGAACCGAAATTTCGTTAACCGAGGGACCACTGTATATATAAATACTGACCATGATTCTCTAGCTAAAAATAATACAAACACAATGAAAAAAATATTCACCATATTATACAGTATTAACTTTACTTCTCTCACACTTTTGTGCAGTGTGGGATATATAAATCTCAAGAAAGGGGAGGGGGGGGGAGATGTGTGAGGTGCAAAACTAGTGTAGGAAGCATTAGAAAAGACTGAAACAACAAGAAGAAACTATGCATCTCCAATTTGTAGTGAACATAGGTTCCACCAGTCTGACAAATCATTACGGGTACAGTATTGCAGATCAGGGTTTGTTGATTTAAAAACTTTTGTTTTTGTTGTTTTTCTAATCTGCCCTTTTCATTAGATTTAATAACCTTTTGTTGGTTTAAATGATTAATAGTAGATTTCCATCACCAGCTGTAGTATTAGTCTGCCAACACAGTAATCGGTTTTAGGGCTTAAATTCGTTACCATTTGAGTAAATATCAAGAAGGTTGTTCTATTCAATAATTTTTCAAGTCTTATATTAAATTTTTTAGTCATTTTAACAATTATTTAACATAATTGAAGTACAGGGAACTAGTTTTTAGCGCTCCAAACAGCCACTTGACTCACCCAAAATGGCGTCAGTTTGTGTTTCTTTTCAGTGGAGGAAGCATCTTGCTTGAGACTTTCTTGAACATAAACTATTTTTACGTTTTTACAGTACAATTATTGGTCATTCTGAAATTTATTTTACATATTGACAATATATACAGTAGTGCAGAGCAGTGTTGATTTAAAGAAAATAATCTTGAATTACACCAAGTGAACTTAAAATTTTATGGGTGAAATGGCAGCATGAAGCATGGGTTGATTTCTCTTCCACTCCACTGCCATCTCTTCTCCCTTCTCCTCCACCCCCACTTCTAATTCCCATCATCATCATGATCAGCCAGGAGCCTTCTACATGCACACCTCAAAGTAAGTATACTTTACTGCATTTATTTTTAGTTTGTATGTAATTTTCAGTGAGCTGGAACCAATTACCCAAAATCCCATTGAAACAATAGTTTTGGTTAACGAAATTTTCGGTTAACGAACAACCTTCTGGAACGTATTGTGTTCGTTAACCGAGGGACCACTGTACTGTATATGGATACAAGCTACTTCATAATAAGGTTAACTTCTTAACACTCCATTTTAAAGTCATGTATCCAGATGAAAAATTAATTCCCAACTATTTTACTTCTGCCACCAATCCTACCTCCTGCTTTATCAAATATGTTCAGCTCCTAGTGCTGTTTTTCACACCTGCCAATGTTCAAGGCATTTTTTTTTTTAATTTAGTGTTACTGTATAAATTATTTATAAGTGTGGTCTGTCACCTTTCTTTTAACATGTAATATTTCTTGTTTATAAACAGATACCAATCTTGTAACTGTATTATCATTAATAAAACTGTTAACTATACAGTGGTCCCTCGGTTAACGAACGGTTCGGTTAACGAATTACCTTCCTTAAGAATCTTCAATTCGGTTAACGGAAAAAAATTTGATTAACGAAATCCTTTCGAACATCACGTTTTGTTGTGAGCATCAGCTGATGGGCTAGTCTGCCAATTCAGTAAGTCAGTAATCTTTTCTAAGTTTACATACGTTTCCAGGGAAGTAAATATCAAGAAAATTATGCTTTAATATTTGTGCATTTTTTATATTAAAATTATTGGTCATTCTAAAATTTAGCCATCCAAGCTGTCTACATTAAGTTTTTCAACTATTATTTTTGGCTCGATATATGTAACTTTATTCATTTATTGAAACTCATTTACATGCACACACTGTCCTAAGGGCAAAGCTGAACTGTACATGTAATCAAAATAATGTACAAAATGATTACTAAAATTTTAGTCTAGTGCAAACTATTGCATGTTTACATTCAAATTAATCACTATTTTATAAGAATTCCAGCAATGTAAATTATATTCTCCCCGGTCACTTCTATGAAATTTTATAAGCAAAAAACAAAAACTCAATCTAAAGGACATAAATAAACAAATAAATACTTCAATAGACCTCGGTGCCAACTGTCAAACATGTCACTCCCCCCCCCCCCCAGAGCAAGGGTTTGGTGGTTATACAGTAGGCTTTAAGTTTTTATCTTATATAATATCACAGACTAAAGTTAGAATATAATTTGCATTGCTGGAATCCTTGCAAGACAGTGCATAAATTGAATATAAACGTCATATATTTTGCACAAGAGATAAAAATTTTAGTACATTAGTGCACAGTACTATAGTACATTTTATAATGTAAAGTTTTTCAACTGTATTTTTGGGTAGATTTACATAAATTTCTTCATTTGCTTTTATTCATTTACATGCACACACCATACTAAAAGAAACGTAAAATAAATAAATGACCTAGGTGCAAACCTGTAGTGTACATGTACTAAATGATTACAGTACTAAAATTGTTATGTCTAGTGCAAATTATAGCTTGTTTATATTCAAATTAATCACTATCTTACAATAATCCCAGCAATGAAAATTATATTCACCCAGGTCATTTCACTGGCATTTTAAAATGAGAGAAGCTTAGTCATTTAAGGACTGTTAAATAAACACACATTAGACCTTTGGCTCCAACTGTAAAACATATCACCTCACCTCCTGCTCGCTCGTTCACTCGCTCGCTCCGTCCCTCCCTCCCTCTACCCCAGCCAGGGTTTTAGGCTTACAGTTTTTATCTTATATAATATCTCAGACTAAAGTTAGGATAATATAATTTGCATTGCTGGAATCCTTGCAAGACAGCGAATAATTTGAATATAAACGTCATATATTTTGCACAAGAGATAAAATTTAATCACCTGTATCACATTACAGTAGTGATTTAAGAGTAAGAGTGTATATGTATGTATATAGTATTCCACATACACGTACAGTATATATATATATAGTGAAAATATATATATATATATATATATATATATATATATATATATATATATATATATATATATATATATATATATATATATATATATATATATATATATATATATATATATATATATATATATATATATATATACACACAGTAGTACCCCGATTTACGCGGTCAATTGAACCCACAGGGTACCGCGTAAAGTGAACAACAGAACTTATGGGATAAATTCCAATAGAGACTGGCCCGACCCCCAAAGTCCACTTTTTGACGACACACAACTATGTTGTAGTAAAAATATTATCTTAACTTTATGATGGTATGCACACACAATTAATAATTAAGAGAAATATCAATAATATTAGTTTTTTTAACACTTACATTAGTAGAAAAGATGGCTGGGCACACAGGGATGGGGGGTTGGTTCCGAGGCAGAGGGCAGATTATTGGCCCTCACCTGTATCACTTGTATCAATTGTATCACTATCCACCACATAGGCTTGCAGGGCCTCTTTGTCAAACCCCACAAAGTCCATATAAGTCCATATCCTCGCTATCACTATCACTGACTTAGGCCGGCTGTGGTGGGTGGCGGGTGAAGAACTCGGTAATGTTTTGATGACTGGGCGACCTTGTGCGCATCCTGCCCGAGCCGCTTCCCGCGTATATGAGTAGATGCACCGCGGAAAATGAAAGTTCGGTTCTCGCGAGGCACCGCGTAAATGGGAAATTGCGGAAAGTGAAACCGCGTAAAGCGGGGTAATACTCTGTGTGTGTGTGTGTGTGTGTGTGTGTGTGTAATAATAATAATAATAATTGACGGTTTATTGAAAAAGTTCTGCAGCCCGAAGGCTGAAAATATACATTGGACATAAATGACTTATTACATACATTGGTGGTTTAACAAAAGCCTTCATTAGAGAAAGGTAAAGGAACATACAGTGAACATACAGATTATTGTAGGTGTTGAACAGCAAACTCTTAGTGTAGTAACTCCCTCCCAGATGGTGTTAGGAGGGACCTCACGTGGTGTAGTAGTTCCCTCACATATGGTGTTATGAGGGGCCTCACGTGGTGTAGTAATTCTCTCACAGATGGTGTTATGAGGGGCCTGACGTGGTGTAGTAATTCCCTCACAGATGGTGTTATGAGGGGCCTCACGTGGTGTAGTAATTCTCTCACAGATGGTGTTATGAGGGGCCTGACGTGGTGTAGTAATTCCCTCACAGATGGTA